CCATTTAAAAGAGCTCGCCCATCATCATTTCTGACATTAAATGGCGCCTCTGAAATACACAGTGTCTAGACTGCTTCTATGTTTTATCAATCTTTGCTAAGTCTGGAAATGGATAGTACACATACACCATCTGCAGGAACATTATGTGAATTCAGTGCAAAGAAGTCCGTCAACAATCTATCCATGGTATTATTGCCGATAGAGAGTTTCTGTTTTGGATTGAAAATAGATTCGAAAAGGAAAACATTGACATAAATATATATATATATATATATATATATATATATATATATATATATATATATATATATATATATATATATATTAACAAAACTTTATCTGTATGATGATGTAGTGAAATTACCAACTGGCTGGAATTCAAACCTTTAATATCACGCATCACTGCACTTCAAAATTGTATCTGCCAACAAAGCTATAATAACGACGATATTCCTGGACGATTATCCCTACCGTTATACCCCTGATGATATCTCACAAGGAAAGTGGAAACTACAACATGAAAGAATTGTATTGATATTACAATGAAATTAGTAGTATTTGTGGAGGATGTTTTGCATCTTTTGCGAGGATGGAAGACTATGCTGTCATTACAGCGGATTATACAAACTGTTTTCACGGAAATGCATGTGCTATTTCATTAAGTACTGAGCATCCAACGATCAATATTCTTTGTGCCAGTTTAACACAAAAGCACTTAAAATCGATGAATTATGCATATTTTTTTTAAGCGTAATTTAGTTAAACAAATGGAGCATCCTAAAAGACAACAAACTGAAATCTCACAGGAATATGTTAAATCTAGTTATATTATCGCACGACATTCAAAATATTACGATTCTATGACATGCAAGAACAAAATGCGTATATGCTTGATATAGGACATTCCACTTTGATGCAAATAAACTTGTGTTATGTAAGAACTTTTTGTTGATTATGTAATGTTATTTCTTAACATAACCTTCTTCTTACTGCTTAGTTATGAGAAGGAATCTTCGGCTCTGGATAGGTGAGGAAGAGAGAGAAAGGAGTGATCTTTTTAAGTGTAAGGTGGCGCTTAACAATGGTACATCTTTGGGGAATTTCCGGTAGCAAGAGGTAGCGGGAATCGCTGTAAATATGAACAAGATTTCTGACTTGGGGCTTTTAATTTACCGGCGTTTTTAGATAGGCTCGGCCTTATATATTCCAAAATGACGTAAAACAACTACGTGCCCCAAATCAGAATGCAATATTGTAAAGATTCCGAAATGGCGTGGAATGACTACGTGGTCCAATCAGAATCGTAAAGAGGCTATCGCTTTTGTTCAATAACATACGTGTCCAAATCTGAATGTCCATTTTAAGTTTTGTATTGTAAAGAGGTTATTGTTTTTGTTCAACTCTTAACATGGATTATAGATAATTTGGTAAATTGTCTTTTTGTTCCACTCGCAACATCGATTACCACTCGTAACATTGAGTAATACCTGATTTGTTCGGTTAATTAATTTTGTTACAGTGAAGAAAGCGAGTAATTCGTTTATTGTTATGAATTCTAAACCCGGTATTTTAGGATTATGTTTGTGAAAAGCAGCCCCCAATGCAAGTTGGTTCCAAGCTATGAAATTGAATAAGGTTATCCAATTTTGTAGCTAATTTCAATCTGTAAGGAACAATGATTTGTTCAGTTGAAAAGAAGCGAGTGATTCGTTTATTGTTCTACTTCTGAATCAGGCGATTTAGTATTACATTTGTAAAAAGGCGGCCTCCAAGGTAAGTCAGTCTCCAGGTCATTCAAGCCATTGAATTGAACCAATCTATTCAATTTGTAACTAATCCCAATTTGTAAGGACCAACGTAGTCCTATATACTTTTTAATTCCTCTACCCAAATTTTACATGAACCAACATAGTCCTAAATACTTTTTTTAATTTTTCTACCCAAATTTTATATCCTAATACTTGTATTCATTCTCTGCGAGAAAATAAAAACATACGAAACTAATGCTATAAATTAACTTCGTTAGATCGTATTGTTTATTTGCTTAATATTGCATACTTACGATTGATATTAAATTTTGAATTTGCCAACAGCAGACTACATGTCACTTTGTTTTTATTCCCATTTTAATGAAACTGTTTACCTGATTCAAACTATTTTTAAAACATGTTTAAACATCATATATAAATTGTTTATACGGATGTCAGCGAAAACACTTATAAACATCCTTGGATTTTGAAATGCTTTTCAACGACTGTGATCATTTATTTTGGGAAATCCAACAATATCACAGTGTCTGTTTTGCCGTTCCTCCATCCCTACTCTCCACCTTTTTACAAATTTACATGAAAATATATGCCTGTAAACTGTCCATTTATTTGTAATCGTATCTCTATATAATACGCAACCTGGGGACAACTTTTCGTTTCTATTGTAATCTCTGGATTAACAAATGATACTTAAGAGATTTAAGCAATAAATGAATTAAAATCAAGCTATCACAATGGCTTCTCCATAACCGACGACCTTTTCTTATATTGCATACACTGCTCAATTTATTTCTCTCTCAAACTAAGAAAGAAAAATGTTGTTTATAGGTATTGTTTCTTAATGGAGAAAACGCCTTTGGCAAAAATGTTGTTCTATCAAACATTGATTGCAAATGTCTAATAATAATATGTAATTACTGTGTGTGGGCAAATCAAGTCATAAGTTAAACTTTGAAACATGCTATCACATCTTTTCATGTGTAAACGCGGTAGCCAACAAGGCAAAACTTTTTACCATTCTTACTTGCTGTTTTCTCAACAATTTTTTAAAAAAATTTTATATATAGTGATCAAATTTTACATGATAAAATATGTCAAATATGTATTGTTTTTGTAATAAAGCATATTATTACTGTAAGACTCTTTTTAGTCAACCGGCTTGCAAAATGCATTACACCATACCTACATATAATGGGCATAACAAGAAGATTTCAATGAGTCGCGAAAGTAAGAAAATGTCAATATCTAGAAGGAAAAAGATATCAAAACCACTTGAGCTTGGTTATACTTTTCAAAATGTTGATTCATAAAACAATCTCGGAAATTATTTTTAATAATCATGGAAGCTTTTCCTAGCGCAAGAAAATAATCGTTTGAACAAGTAATTAGAAACTATATTTGGCATGTATTAAAATTAAGCAATTTATTGCTCCCAATGTATTAACAGCTGAAACTTTCTGAGCAATAAATATTACTACGCATGTCCTATGGATGTGAAATATGTTGTGGGCATATGTCATAAATCAACATAAAATTGAAAAGATAGAATAATTGAAAAATGTACTTTTTATGTGAGTTTCTTTTATTGATGCATCTGATTTCTCCGTTGTCCAAACAGCAAATGAACCACCGCTTGAAAGCCCAAGGCTCTAGTAAGATAAACTTTCCTGAATGATATTGCCGTAAAATGTTCTATTATTCTACCTGAAACATTGACTTCATTCAGACAATCGTCACGCAATATTCGATCTTTATTATTGGCATTTAGTCGACATAATCTACCTCTACAATAGATTAACTAGCTCCATCTCAAGGCAATTAATCTATTTATAGAGTGTTTTGGGCACGAAGCTGTAATGAGTTTCAAGAACAAAACCGAAAATGTGGGGAATTAATATATGCAATAATTCATAAGATACACATTAAGCCCTAAGCCTTATTGTATACGATAATCAACGCAGTTTTGCTGCCTGTTGCAATGTATGAAAATTGATTGATATCTTTAATTCCCAGTTCATCCTAAACCGTGGGGAAATACAAATACTGTTACAATAGTAGAAAGCTGATGTATTAATTTCTTAGTCCATAATACGGATCCATAGAAACGCATGCAGAATACTTAGTCTCCTTTATGTGTTAATTCCGGAAACCCCTCGTTTCTCTTGTATGACTGAGTCTACGTAACTCAAGCTCTCTATCAAGTTTTGTATCCTTAATTAATTACATTCGAAGCGTAAATCCTCATTACCTTGGTTGGAAAATTTGCACTCGAAACCCCTGGGAAAAAAATGGGCAGCGTCTGTTTCAACTAGTACGCGATTATATTTAGCTTTGAGATCGTATTGCAGTCTCAATCATCTGTATGAACCTAACATCTATGTTTAACACACTATGGTTCAAGTGGACCATGACTACACGACACATGCACAGCAATCATAACTAGGCGTTAATATATCGGCTGCCAAGTCATTCAAGTTATTTGGGAATTACCGTGGTTTAAAATTTGAGCAGACGATCTAATTGGGATATTATTCATTGTCAGTAAACACTTACTGCATTTAATACTGTTAATATTGAAATATTTAAGCAATAATTCAGAGGAAATTTATTTTGACTATGCCGTCTACTGTTTTACATTCTTAGTGCTAAGGTAATCTGAGAATATTATATATCTAATGAGGGTTTGGAAAGTATCATATAAAGACTGCAAGACATCTGTCAAAGGTTATGAAATATTTAGTTTTTGAGGAAGAAGTAATTCCGTGTCTTGCTATACTTGAACAATGTTCGTTATCATTTCATTTACGTAGTGTCAGAGCCACCCTCGGAATAAGACAATGATTGGTCTGACATATCGTTAAGATTTAAAAGCAACATTCACAAACTTTTCAAATTTCTTCAAAGCGCTTTCGTACGTGTTACTTTGACATAGAAATCGGGTCCTGAGAACAAATAAAGTCTTTACTTTTCTATTATGAAAAGATGAATATGCATATATACTCTAATTCATCAATAATTCCGTTTATGAAACTCCCTGGACATTACGATATACCTATAACTATTTTTCATTTAGTGTCATATATTTAGTAACTACTGTACATTTGTTTAAGGTCCTCGTCATATACATCTTCTGCCAAAAAAGACAATGAAAATGCACACTTGATATTATCCAAATTTTAAGCCATTTTCTAGATCAGCAATTTGCTAAGATAAATTGCACTAACGTAAATCGACTGCTCCGGTGGCCTAATGGTTAGAGCGTCCGCCTCGGATGCGGAAGGTGTTGGATTCGAACACCGGCAGAGTCATACCAAAGACTTTTAAAAATGGTACTAAAAACTTCCTCACTTTTGCGCTCAGCGATAGGACTGATCGGCCTGTTCTCAGGATAATGTGACTGGGTGAGACATCAAGCCACATGTCTGCGGCATGATCCCCCAGTGCTATACATCACTATAAACTGTCACACTGCAGACATCGTAGATATATGACTGGAAAAATTGTTAAAGCTTCGTTAAAAATCTAAATCACAAACTCACGCACACACACACACACACACACACACACACACACCAACATACACTAACATAAGTAAGAAAGATAAATCCATGTTGAGAATATTTGATTGATCAATTTTACGTCAGTCTTATATTTCAGCTAAACATATATCTGAGTTTATTAAAATTCGCTTATATCTACGCACAGGTTCTATTTGTTATAGCTAAACAAACTATAATTTTCAAACGAGAGAGAGAGAGAGAGAGAGAGAGAGAGAGAGAGAGAGAGAGAGAGAGAGAGAGAGAAGGAGGATGGAGTTATATATTGCTGCTAAAGGTTCTTTATGAGAGGTCATATCTTCATGATAGCATGAAGTACCAAAAATATTTAGTTATGATTCAGCTTTCATATTTTATTTGCTGATCTTGATCTGGTTTTAACAATTAACGAGAAAATGTTCAAATTTATTGGCAATGCAATGACGACGAGAATGATATAGCGGATGCAAAAGTTTTTCATAATGTACTCTCTTACAGTAATGAAATCTGTCTGACATCTAGAGTACACTATTTTTCAGTCTATACATTTGTCTAACATCAATCCATAACCGATAACAATACTCAACGTCCACTCTATTAAGTCATGAAATCTGTCAGACATTGAACCATAACGTACACTCTAATAAGTCACGAAATCTGTCATACATTGAACCATAATGTACACTATATTAAGTCACGAAATCTGTCAGACATTGAACCATAATGTACACTATATTAAGTCACGAAATCTGTCAGACATTGAACCATAATGTACACTCTATTAAGTCACGAAATCTGTCAGACATTGAACCAAAACGTACACTATATTAAGTCACGAAATTTGTTAGACATTGAACCATACTGTACACTTTTATGTCATTAAATGTCAGACATTAAACCATAATGTACACTCTATTATGTCATGAAATCTGACCGATATAATCTATCCATAAGCAACTAATTGCTATTTATATCATTATTAATGTGAACGTTTGTGTTCGTGTCAACAGACCTCTTTACATTAATGTTTTGTTTCTAAATAAATCCAGTCTGAGATGTAAAATATCTCTTTATGAAGCTTCTCTCTCTCTCTCTCTCTCTCTCTCTCTCTCTCTCTCTCTCTCTCTCTCTCTCTCTCTCTCTCTCTCTCTCTCTCTCTCTCTCAGCGAAGAATGTTGATTAATTTAACCTTTCTCACATTATGTCATACTCTCGGAAGCAGATATGACTGTTATTTCATAAAGATACATTTCATATTTAATATAAATTAAATTGCCCCTTCTTAGAATACAGTGCACATATGTGCAAATTAATTTCGAATCAAATTCCTTTTCTCTAATGGTTTGCTAGTAAAGTAATCAGGAGGAAAGCGAAGAAATCCTCATCGTCCTAGAATCAAGTTGGCAAATCCTAATCGCCCTAGCTAGGTCAATTATGTTAGTAAAACCTCACCGTCCTAGTTATGTGAATCACGTTAGCAGTCGATAAAGGGAGGCAAATAAAACCAGCAGAAATAACGCCAACAAACAAAAGCAGAATGTGTGGAATCTATTGTTGATTAACGCAAGATCTATCGTATCCATCCCATTTTTGTCTGTTCTCGATGATGACGCATCTGAGAATTTTCGGCCTGGCGATAACTGGCCACTTCTTCCGAATGTTGATGTATTTCTTCTGAAAATGGTGTTGATATCCAGACGACCCGGTGGAAAAGACCTTCTCCTGTTCTTTTCGTTCACGCTTGGCATATCAAACGAAGAAGAAGAGAAATGAGAGTTGGACCCATATCTAAATGACGAGTCAGAATTACCTGGCTGCAAACTTGCTTTCCTCTTCTGATCGTGACTTCTCCGAATACATACTCTGGAAGCCATTGCTGAACTGTTAGTGATGCTCGAGTTTTGTATCAAGCAACGAATATTTCAAAAATTGCTGAAATTATTACCTCTGTGAAATTCGTTGACATTTATAAACTGGTCTGGCAAATTCCGCAAAATGAATGCAATCCTTAAGCTACCGCCAAATATTTTACAAATAAAACAACCGTGTAATCCATAAAAGAACCCTCAATCTCTTATTTTTTAAATTTCATTTATAAAATATAATAGGCACCGATCTATTGTATTGGATCATTTATTTGTATGATGTGTTAATTACGACGTTCATGCAATAATAGCTTACCGCCTTGTGGAAAAGTCTCCATTTAACTTTTGTTTTATTTCTCAAACTGCATTATCTTCCAGTATTATCAATATAATGCAGTGCAAGTGACTCTAGCACTGTATGGCAATGAATTACACAAATCTAAAAACTCGAAAACAGCTAGAAAATGATTCTCATGCACAAATTGTTATCATTTAATAGAGATATGATTCCACATCAGAAACTGTCAATGTCGTTTTCTTGTAGCATGATCAACTCATGAACAGACTGCTGTACTTCCATGACCATGCCACAGTAATACGTCAAATATCAGGTCAGTGTGTACACACAGTTTATGCTCCTACATTCCTTCAACTGTTCTCTATCCTTTCTAGGAATCAAAATATGAAAGAATTTCGATATCGTCCCAATCAGTCATTTTCAAAATCCCTGCATAATGATGAAATAGAGTTCAACATGCATACCGGAAAAATGTGTTAAATAAATAAATCTCACATAACACGCTAAGCCTAAACTGAATTCAGAATCGTACTGATGATTTATTTAGTGAAGGTAACACATTTCCCGTAACTCCCGTATCAATCGATGCAAAATGATATTAACAAAAAGCCAACGGCAGAGTAGTGATTGGATTCTCTCCTATAGTTATATGCGATAGATTAAACCTTCTTTTCCGTATCGACCTAGCTGGCACAGCTGGCAGGCAATAAACAATCTCCATGCTTAGACTTTCAACTAACTAACAAGTTCTCTTTGGTAAATTAAAGCAATTCAACTCTGAGTAATTAAAGATGTTGTTTTTCCATCTATAAAAGATAGGGATTTTATTCTCACAAAATTTATGTTTGAAACATTTAATGCTGGAATATACATTCAGTGGAAATATATGGGTTAATTTTTTATGCTCGCGTCGGACGATGCTGACACAAAATATTCAAGAGATTGTGAATGACTGTGATATTATACCTGTTTTTGAACTTCGCTTTCAATATATGTTGAACCCAATCTTTAAGCAAAACCACCGTCTCTGCTATTTTATTGTTGCAATGAAATGTTTGCAGTACACTTTCCTGTCACATTTCTTGAAGCTTGAATGGTGTGATGTCAAAATCTCTCCATATCCTTTTATACTCATCATCACGTGGGATCAATAAATAACCCTCTCTAACAACCGTAAATGTTTAATTCTCCCTGTCAATAGTCCATTCTTAGGTTACTATAAATTAGATCCAATTTTATATTTATGGGCAATACTCTGGAATCTGACACTAACTCTTCTGCCCAAGACGCAAGAAGCACTATTCACTTCCAAGAATTCTAGAACGAAGGAGATTTCTTCAGTGCAAGATACCCGTGTTACAAGTAATCAACAATAAAGTAATCAAATGTGCGAATGTATGTAACTGAGGTGAATCTATTCCTAGCTTGAGGAAAAACTCTATGCTTAAAAACGTTATCTCGCGAACACTGATGTAAAAATGAAGAAAGTATTTCTCCTCTGACGTTCTGCAAAGAATGTCGACCGCTATACTTAGTAGAGGTAAACTCGCTTTGAATAGCTGCTTTTCAATATCAATATGCTTTATCCAATCAGCTGCAAGTCTGATTTATATTCTAAATAATCGCACAAAGATTGTAAAACAGGCGAGCCTCCGGAAAATAATGCAGATAATTATGCAGAATTGTATTGTTCCAGATGTCTAATAGATTCTATCTTATTAAAATATAATCCATTAAACATCTGGAAGGATACAATTTACTTTTGTTTCATATTCCGTTATTTACAAATCTGAAAATTTAAAAAAATAAATAAATGTGAATGTCTGTAATCGTGCTTGTGCCGTCTTATTCTTTGGAGTCAAATTATGGTTGCATAGCAGTATCGTTGCCTTATTTGGGGGACGTCATTGGTTTACCTGCTATTTTGTATGCTTTAGTGTTGCTGATCGCTTGCTAATGTCCTCCCTTCGAGTAATTAAAGTATCCAGACTGCTATGAAGATCATCACCGGGAATGTGAGTGGAAAATGGAAATGTGTCCTTCCATCTGTTCACGTGTCGGCCAGTATATATCTATGTATACTATTTTTGTATGTTTAAGGATTTGTAGTCAAATATATGAGCATATTTTCATTTCGAGGTACATTTATAAATAGATGAAGGAACGATCGATGAATAGACGTATGGATAAAATAACATTTAAGTTGGTATTCAAAATTTGCTGATAGTGATCTAATATTTAAAGAGAATATCACAGGCGGATAACTAGTATTGTTAATAAAATTTTTGTTGTGGCTAACACCGAGGAAAGGAAAGCCTGGTTGCGAGGTCACATTATTTGTCTAACCCAATTTCTCAGTTGAAATTAAAGTAACCCTTCGCTTTTGCAATAAAGTTACTACATTCAACATACGTTCATCAGGTACCATTGCTTCCTCACATTTTGTATATAGGTCAATCGGTCTTATATTTTATGAACACCTAAATAATTCACTGGTCTACAATGTTTTAAAGTCGTCTGCTTCAGAGATAAAATGTGTTATTTATTATGGATTTTCATGTACTGAATTCAAACATGACAATTAAAACAACTAAAACAATTCTATCCAT